GACAGCTTGGCTGTAACTGCCCAGGCTTCATTTGTAATGAAGGGAGAGAAATGAGTTGTCTCTACCGAGATGCTTTGGCCCACCTTGCCTGTCCACCAGCTCCTGCTTCAGAAATGCTCCCATCAGCCCCGGGTCACATTTCCCAGTCCCATGTGGGGGCTTCTGCTATCCCTGGGCATCTTGGAGGCAGTGGCCACCTCTCTGTAGGCCACTGCATCTACCCCGGAATGAAGATGTTAGGCAGAAGTTGAAACATTTGCAGGAAAGACCTCAGTGTAATAGGTATATAAGAAATCTTCTTTTTCACAACTTTGATGCTGGTCTGTAAATTGTCATGATTTTTTCATAAGCCATGGACATCGACCAGCGAGCTGATGACCGTTTCTCTCCTTCTGTGTAAACACAAATTTCTACACACAGTCCCTTTGACTGGTAACATTTTAGTTTTCTCAAGTAGCCCCGGATTCGATTCCTATCCACTCTTGACTGTTTTTCTCTGGCGCCTTGCCTTGAGGCACAAAGCCCTGGAAGACCTTGCTGGTGATATCTGAGTCAAAGAGAACACAAAATATCTCAGCTCTACCTCCATCTACTTTTACCAAATTCAGCAGTGACCATACATCATGTTTGTTTTTTCTTTACCTTTTCCTGAAGTACTAACAGCTTATCATGCTGGCCTTGAGCTCGCTTTCCAGTTTCAAAGGAGTTTTGATAGAGACCATTGCTGTGCTTGGAGGATGATGTCCTTGAAGACCAGCTGCACAGAGCTCTACTGCCCTTCCATGCTGCTGACAATGAGATCCCCAATAAAACTCCCCAGAACAGGCCAAAGTCTGCTGCACTGATGTCTGGCATCTGCAGTCTTCTATTCTCCTCCCTCACTCCCATTAGGAGATGGGACCCCATGAGTTCAGGGTCACAAGAGCCAGTCTTCATATCCCTGACCAGCTCTTCCTTGCTGACGAGTGTCAGATACAGGTTTCTGTGACCCTCGTTAGCCCACCTAGCAGCTGTGCTAACAAGTTCTCCCAAGACGCCCCAGAAACAACCTGGACTTTTTTTATGCTGACCTTTTCCTCTTCCATACAATGCCAGCGGCATTGTACTCGCAGTGAGACGCAGGCTTCTGTATCGAGAGTCTTCCTTGGGGTGCTTAGAAAACACGATGCCCACTTCCCCAGCCTGACTGGGGGTTCCTCATCTACAAATACAATATCACCTTTACTGCCCCTCCTCTGATCCTCACTCACAAGGGCTCACCAAAGTTTTCATATGCCCATAGGGGAGCTCCATACATCCATGAAGCTTCCTCACTTTGAGGGAGTCCCATTCCTGATCCTTCCAGCTTGTCTGTCCTGAATAGCCTGGACCCATCCATCACAGCACCCCAAAGTCTGTGGCATTCTACTGTGCCTTGGCTGTTGCTCCTTTAATGTCAAAAACCACAGGCTCCCGCTTGTCCTGGCTCTGCCACTGGCTGGGAGCATCAGTGTGCACTTGGGCTGTAGCACCTCAGGTGCGTCACCAGGCCAAGCTCTGACTAGTCTACCAGAAAAATGGTATCAAGTGCCCAAGACCCCGTATGTGCAAAGGTTTTGCTTGAGAGCAGAGCCATGCCAGGGTGATTGGCAGATGGGAAGATAAAGCTGAAACTGAATGCCAAGAGAGTGAACAAACCCTGCTGTCCCCAAGGCCAGACGGAAAGAGGGCTGTGAAGTGCAGCCCTGGCCAGAGATTGGTTTCGTGTCAGTGGTGCCTCTGCTGTCCCTGAGGGCCTTTGTCAGACATGAAGGTGATGTTCAGGAATGACAAGGTGCTGCTGACAGGCCCACTCTGGAAAGTGTTTGTTCTTTGACTGTATCTTCAAGGTAAAGGTTGAGTGGAGAGAAAAACCATCAGTCTGAGAATGCAGGTACACGAGTGGAGACCCCAGTGTGGTTTGCCTTGGATTCCTGGACTGTTCTACCTCTGCTGGATACAGAATGGACAGACCTTACCACACTGCAGTGATGGCAACCAGTGGTTTGCAGAAAGACACCGAATATGCCAGCAGTGCTGTCTCGGGTGTCTGTCACACACTCACCCTGAAAGGGGATGGCTTTCCCGTGCTGGACCTGCCAGCCACGTGGAGCTATGTGTGAGAGCCTTGGCATCTCACATAACACTACAGGCCTCTATTTGGACATTACATAGAGTAACTGCCCAGAATTTGATTTGGCAATGTGGGAATGAAAATGGTTGTTATAGCCAATGGCTATCTAATGAACCCAGCTGATGGAAGAGAGAGAGGGAGAAACATATCTCTCCCTATGATACAGGAACCCACATGCAGGTGCCTATTTAATGCATATCTGAAGGGAGGCAAGAGGCATCCCACCTCCTGTGGGTTTGTGGTATGCATGGAAGGGAGCTGAGTTCCCTTCCAGTGTTAGCAATAGAAATGAAGGTTGAGATGCCTCCATTTACTCAGCTGAATCCCTTCCCTCATCAGGAGTGAAGAAGATCCCTGCCCTTCATTGATTGCTTTTCCTGCCTAATCATAAGGAAAAAAAGAGAGATTTTTTAAAACTGACTCTATCTTGGAGAAGAGAAATGACCTTGCTGGTAATAAGCATCTGTTACCAGCTGAGAAGGAAAATCAATGATTCCTTCAGCCTGTTTCACAGCAGGTGCCCCTGGAGCCCCAGGTTCCCCTGGAGACAGCGTAGAGGGGGCAGAGAATGTGCTGCTCATCTGGGCTGCTTGTCTGTTGCTAATGTGGGCCAGACTCCTGGGACAGAGAGAGCTCATGACAAGTGGGCAGAGCTGCACAGAGAGACAGTTCTGCCCAGGAGCAGCTCCTCTGCAAAGCACAGCAGGGCTGAGGGCACTGTCTGCAGGAACCAAGGACAGACGAGCACAGTAAAGAGAAGTTAAAGGCAGTCTGGAGTGGGAAGCCAGAGCTGAGCCTGTTCAAAGAGAAATCTTCACAGCATTGGACACAGTAAGTCTCTGGCAGCAGGGCAATGCAGGTGACTATCCTGGACAGGTCTTTAAGAGCTGGCACATCCCATGACGGACAGGACCGGTCAGGATGTACTCCAGAGCATGGCTTCCCTGTCAGAATGACAGGACAATTGCTGCCCTGTCTGGGGACAGCTGCAGCGCTATGAAGGTGGGTGTGCAGCTAGCTGTGCCATGGGCTGTACTTCAGAACAGAGTCCTTGTACTTCAGGGGGCTGTGTGCCAGGGCAGGGACTCTGCTTCCTACCAGGGTCAGCACTCAGCCTGCCTGGGGAGAACCCCACGGTGCTGGAGGGGGAAGCTCTGTGTGGAAGGAGCAGGTCCTGACAGGACAGGGAAGGGTCCTACTGTTGGGAGAGTGCTGCATGGACTAGGGATGCTCAGAGTTCCAGATTACCGCCAAGTTATTTCCAAGGAGATTTTTCAAGGGGAAGTTCAATTTAGGGTTTACATTAAATGGAAGGAGTCAATCTTTGAGATTTCTCCTCTTGGTTGCCTGGGTGGGCAGTGGGAGTTGGGAATTTATTTCTCCACTCTAGACAAGACACTCAGACCCCAGTTCTATTTAGGGCTTCTCTGAGTTTCTCCTGAGCCCCTGCACATACAGGGATGTCCCTGGGCAGTGCCTTGCTGCAAGGAGCTGTCTGCAGGGCACAGCGGAGAACACAGCAGCTGGGATGGGGTCTGTGAGCACAGAGAAGGAGGACATGTGGGGACAGAGAAAAAGCTCCCAGAAGAGACATGTCTAGGCAACAGAGCCACGGGCAGGGACGGAGAGGGAGCGGCTGCCAAAATGTGGTGTGAGGATGGTACTTCTTTGCCATCCGCTGCAGTACAAACACTTTCCCGGAGGAACTGCTTGGTCTCCTTTCCTGCTCTGCACAGCCTCTTCACCCAGGGTCATGGGCTTTCAGGCAGAGTTTTCTTCTTGCTAGCTTGACCCCAGTAAGAAAAAACCCCTGAGTGCCTGTCCTTCCTCCCTTGGCAGAAGCATCGGGGCATTTCTCTGTTTCCCTTCCTGTCCTTGCCACCTTTATCCCAAGCTTACCTGAGGGATCTGGGCATGGCAGTGTGTGGGGCTGGCAATGAGCTGACCCTCACATGAGGACAATCCATCTTTAGGACTTTTGACTCTTTC